TATTTGTAAAAATAAAAAGAGAGGGAGATGGAGAGAGAGGGAGATGGAGAGAGAGAGAGAGAGAGAGAGAGAGAGAGAGAGAGAGAGAGAGAGAGAGAGAGAGAGAGAGAGAGAGAGAGCGCGAGCTGAAGAGGATGGCCTATAAAGGTTCCTTGCAGCTGTGAATTTATGACCTTCTTCTGTTCTCTTGAAAAAAATATAGGAACATTTGCCCCTTTTCAGTCTTGTAGTACCTCTTCTGTCTTCCATGATCTTTCAAAGATTTCCCCAACAGCAAATGAGCTGTTGAGTTCAAGAGTATGTGACTGTGAGTAACTCATATAAGATCTGGCCAAGAAAAGAGCATTAGTAAGAATTACAGAGGCCAAAAAGGAATAAGTCTTGTAGTACTGAAATCTAAGTCAGCAATGTCACTGCTAAATGAAACTAAAGACTTTGGAATCTTGAAGAAAAGTTTTTCTTACCTTTAAATTAAAATAAGTTCCAATATATGTACTATTTGGGAGGAATTAATTATACAGATTTTTAAAATTTGAAGTTTAAGCCTCCTGAATTCAGGACGGTAGGGAGCATGAAACGTTTCCCCTTGATCTAGTTTCATCAATTACCTATTAAAAATGAATTAATGAAGTGTAAGAAAAGTTTTAAGTGTTTACTATGTACTGAACCCTACACTAAGATCTAGGAATACAAATACAAAGGCAAGACAAGTACCGCCCTCATGAAATTTACATCTTAGGTGGCAGTGAGAGGGACAACACATGAAAAGGGAGTGGTAACCAAAAGAAGAGTATTTTGGCTTAGGAATTCACAAGGATAGGGAGGGAAACCATAAAGGAGTCAATTGACATAACCTTTCCAGGAGCAAAATGGTACTTTAATGATTACTATTCCCATAGCAAGGGAGATATAAAGTGGGAATTCAGTAGCAGGGCAAATGGTCAAGAAATCTACCAGAGAGTTGGATGATAGGAAAGGCAAAGCTTCTACTGGTCAAGGCGCCAGGGGACACTCTTGTCTCTATCAGAAAAAAGTCTTGAAGAGATGTCTCTGGATATCATTGAAATGTAGAACAAACTCAATGATTTCAAGAAAGATTAGATTATGGAGTTTTGTATTTGCTAGATCTAGAATACAAAACCAATCCAACCAATTCAAATAAGTGGGGATATTTTGTCCAGGGATATAATTTTAAAGAGTTTCATAAACATATGAAGATAGGTGTTTTGAGACCCAAGAACTAAGGCTCAGAAGGGTAATGATATTTCTAAAGATTAAGGATTGAAGAAGACTGAAGAACAAAGTATGACTCTACCTTGGATTATGGAATAGTTTCTCTAGTTCTCTGAGGAAGAAGAACAGTAGATGATGAATGTCAGCTTTAAGGATTTTTTTGACTGGGTAGAGTAAAGCAGGGGTTGAGGAAATTCAAGAAAAATACAATGAGGATATCGGGTAACTGGGTAGCCAGGTGGCACAATGGATACAGCATTAGGCCAGTCAGGAAGTCAGGAAGACTCATCTTGAGTTCAAATGTAGCTGCAGACACTTACTAGCTATGTGACCCCTGACAAGTCATTTAACCCTGTTTGCTCCAGTTTCCTCATCTGTAAAATGAGGTAGAAAAGGAAATGGCAAAGCACTTCAGTAACTTTGCCAAGAAAACCCCAGATGGGGCCACAAAGAGTAGGACATGACTGAAAAATGATTAAACAACAACACAATGAGGACATAAGGGCTGTGGATCCTGACTGCCTACAAGAAAAAAGATTAGAAAGTCTGATATGCCATCTCTGTTTAATTATGAGTAGTGGCTAAGGAACCCCACTGACTCAAAGTTAGATACTTCGCCTCTACTCTCAATGTATGGATAAGGGTTTTCCTGACTTTGGCTAAGGAGGTTTCAATGGACTGACTTCAAAGTGCTTGGTCTTTTTTATTTTTATTTTTATTTTTATGTAGTTCTATTTCTATGAAATAGGTCTTAGGCCTCACTACCACTCTTCTACTATCTCCACTCTCCTCCTCACCCCTCAACTGCACTAAGACTTTTGGGACAGCTTATATATAAATATATTCCACTGACTTGATAGAAAGATTGTGAGGCTTATTCTGAAAGGTGGTTAAAGGCATCCTTTGTTGTGAGGCTTAGCTGTCTTTCCTCATCAAGTATAATTATGATTCCAGAAAACAAGTATTATTCATCAAGTATGGGAAGCTTGTTTGATCTCCTATGAGATCACACCAAAACAAAATCAGCCATGGTATCTGGAGATCACCACATTTATAGATACTAAACTCATGGCATCCCAAGTGGTTTGCATAATAGGGAGAGAAATAGCTAATGTCTTCTGAGATTCTTCTAAAAAAAAAAACTTCCTGTAAAATTCAGTCACCTATAGGTAATATCCCTCTGATACTTAATTACATACATGACCAATGAAGACTTTTAGTGCATTAAAGCCAGCCTGATAAGTGTTTCTGGATAGGAGTGTGTATTTGGAAATTAGAATATGAGGTTGGAAGAGTTAGTAGTTATTACTAGTAGCTTTGAGGTAGTTAATCATGAGACTCCTCTGTCACAGGGATAGATGTAAAGTGGAAAGAATATGGTTAAATGGGAACAATTTATGACAAATGGCAAGTACAAAAGAACAGTAGATTCAGAACAGCAGAGAGACTAAGGTAGGGTGATTAAAAACCCAGAAGAGTTACAAGAGCTCAGCTAGGATCTGTAACAATTTCAGGGAAATACTTCTAATTTATTCCACTATTATAACTTTGTCTGATTAAGGCGGTTTGGTTTGGGCTTCAAGGTAAGCCTCTAGTTGCAAGGCAAGAATTCTCTGGGGGATGACTCATTTAAAGAAGATCTGGGAATGGAGAGAAGAGATAACTATAGGCTCTATCACAGGGCACTAACAAACTTCTGACTCTGGTATCAAAAAAAAGCAATAATGGGGGCAGCTAGGTGGTACAGTGGATAGAGCACTGGCCCTAGAGTCAGGAGAACCTGAGTTCAAATCCAGTCTCAAACACATAACACTCATTTTTTAAGTAAGTCACTTAACCCCAACTGCCTCATCACTAAAAAAAGAAAAAAAAAGCAGCAATGGCAGTGTATATGTCATCTAACCTGACCTTTTCCTAAAATATGGAAACAGGAAAGGCTCAGCACCATTACAGATTTGGCATCAGATAGAACCAGGTTATGTGCAGATCAATAGAAACCATTTAAAGACAAGGTTCCTTCTCTAGACTGCTTGGTAGTATAGGCTTGGCTTTGGGTGAGGGCCTAGCTACTTGTATTTATGACTCTAGTATCCTTGGTTGAGCAGAGGGACCTCATAGAAAAAAATGCCTGCTTGCTATATCCTTCTGCTGTCCCCATCCCCTTCACCATATTAAGATAAGAACATTCCAAGTGCAGAAGATAAACACTCCTTTGTGTCTACATATTGATAAGTTAATTGAAAAGGATCTTGATAACAGTTGATAATTCTGTTACATTAATAAGTTTTTAATTACCACTGCTCTCAGGTCTGCACATACTGATGCATCCCCCAAGCATCTATACCATTCTGACTCTATAGAATAAGGATAAAGAGGAAGTTGGTCCATACAGAAGGAACACTGAGAGAAAAGGAAAGAAACTAGGGGTCCAAGGAGAACAATGCAAGATGTGGGAAGGCCCCTGAGGTTATTCAGAAAGAAATAGAAAGGGAAAGAAACAGGAAAGAAACAGAAGAAAGCAAAAGGCTGACCACTTGAATAAAAAGTGGTAGAAAAGGAAGATTAAAAAATTTAGGATAAAGATTAATGGTCCAGAAGCTAAGTAGATCTTTAGACTCAGAGGGTGCCAAACTCTTATTCAATGCCCCAAAGTGCAGAGATTAGAATTTGGCTGGCCAACACAGAAGGGGAGGGTAATTCCTCTGGATTTACCTAAATTCCAGTACTGTCAATACTAATACTCAGAACAAAAGAGGAAAAATTGAAGTTGCCCTGGTAGCTGTCCTTAATATAGCTGGGAAGCAGGGAATATGCTCTCTCTAGCAGGTCCCATGACCAAGGAGCCTTGGGATAATTAGAAGTTTTCTAAAAACTCTGAACAGTATAGGACTTTTATTTATTTTAATAGCTACCTAATGATTCCTCTATCTCTAGAAAAGCTATGTAAACATACACACACAATGTTACAGTAAAAATTGTTTTAAATTTTTTTTCTTCACATAGTACTAGAAATAATTACATTTTTATAGTAAGCTTTTGAACAAGTATAATTTGGAATTTGAAATCACTAATTCAGAAAAAAAAACACCATGTTTTTCACCCTCAAGATCTCTGCAAAATTATTGTGCTTAGCAAGAAAAAAAAATTTCTTTTAAAATTAAAATGGACCATCAAAGTAGTAGAAATTAAAAGGAAATTATCTGATAGCATTACAAAGTCTTATGGCACGTTACAAATGGCAAATTTAGTCTGAAAGGAAACTTCTTGAGGTACAGACTATTCTACATTTTGTCTTTAAACTCCCAGAGCTTAGGATAGGTCCTTATTTTGGGTAGGTACTTAACAGATGTCTGCTGCACTGAGATAAACTATTGCTTTTTCTTAAACATTTCTTGTAAATTATTTTTTGAAAAAACTTCCCTATTCCCAATCTCTAATAAATTACAATTTCACCTTAAACATAACTATGTAATGAAAAAATGGTTCCATAAATCATACTATTTCAAACAAAAATCTATATTCAAAGAAGAAAGTCTTTGATCTCCTTACCTCTAATTCTTTGAACTACATAATAAACAGTAAGTATATCAAGATTTGCTTAAATGGTTAATTTTCATTTGTTGGTCAGTACAAAGAGACTTTGCTATTCAGAGGAGAAAAACTAACACTCTTAATGCCACTTTTATTTTGCAAACATACATCCCAAACTCTGCTACTCAACAATTCTTTCCTTCATACTGGGAGAGTTTCTTATTAGAAACACTTACCAAATACAATACATGTCCCCATTCTGGAGCTGTGGAATTAGGAATGATTCACAGAGCTGCAAGGCTAATGTAGTCTTGCCTTCTTTTTCGGTGTTACAGATGATATCAATTCCATTCTTACAATCAGTTCTCAATATATGCTATAAGTTTAAAATAAGATTGGTTCACAGAAATACATATAAATATACAAATACTTGTACAGCTAAAATTATATTATTCTATGGTAGAAGTAACTGATGCTTAGTTTTCTTCCATGAAGGTCTATGTCTGCATTCATAAAAGTTGTCTAGAGAACAGATTCATTCACCAAATTAAAGACCAGAACAGTTAATTTAAACATCCAGTATCTTAATAATTGGTTTAAAAGGCAATTATTAAGTTTCTACAATTCTTATTTGACTTCTTTAAATTAGTTAACCTCTTTTCTTTCTATCATATCCAAAGCAAATTTTCTTGGCATCTATTCTGCTAGTTTCATTATTTGTTTTGTTGCATTACTTGTAATTCAACATAAAAGTGGGAGGAAATAAGTTACCAGAAAAGAAAAAAAAAACTTGGTTAGTGGCTTTCTTAGAGCTTTGAGAATCAATCTAAAAAAGAATATGCACATACACACCCACTATATCATTATTTATTTCACTAGATTTATTCTCAGTTAGTACCTCCTGAAATAGTTGATCTTCTAATGGTGACATATATAGACATGTGAAGAACGCTTGATGGAAGTACAAGTCTTTACTGATATCTGGGTGATTTATGCAACATTTGATAAGAGCCATTGCCTCTGGTATACGTTCACAAGCAATAAGGTATCTGGCACGCAGTTCAAAGAACAGTGGGTTTTCAGAGCTCAAATATTTGTTAACTATATTAGAAAAGAGAAAAAAAAAGAATGTTATTTAAGAAAGAGAATTTAGCAATTCAGCATTTCCTAAAATTTTACTACTTTAACATTCCAGATTACAAAACAATATATAATTCATTATGCTTTGCTTTAACAAAATTTAATTATATCATTAGAAAAGGGGTGAAACAATGATAATAATGTAAAGACTTCAAAACTCCGATAAATGAAGTGATCAATTATGACTTCAGAGGACTAATTGTGAATCACACCTCTACCAAGGTGGCAGAATACAGATTTGGAATGAAGTATATAATTTCAGACTTGGCCAATTTGTGATTGTGTGAGAGACAGAGAGAGAGAGAGAGAGAGAGAGAGAGAGAGAGAGAGAGAGAGAGAGAGAGAGGTGTGAGTGTGCGTGCGCGCTTCTAGGTTAATCACTGGGAAGTGGCAATGATATAAAAAGAAAAAAGTATCATCAAACTTTAAAAAAGGGGAACATGTCAGGCACCCAAACTATCATCTTTCTTGTGAATCTAAAAAAGTAATCAGTATTTTAATTTAGGTTTTGCTATTTTAAGCTATATTAAAAAGCTCTTAATTTAGACTGATTGTGGGAAAGCAAGTCTAAATTAGTGACAAGTGTAACTGGTTTGGTAATTCAGACTCAGGTTTTGACTGTTGTTTTGGCTTGGACCTATGATTGCATCTTTGTAGGGAGCGCTGAATGAAGAAATTCACTTGAGCAACAACTGTTCTGCAAGTTTAAAAATGCTTACAGAAATGATTGGGAGTCTGAGAGGTTAAGTGACTTGCCCAGCACGACACCAGTCAGTAACTGTGAAAGGCTAAATCTAAAGACAGGTTGTCCAGAAGTTCTACATCATCCTGACTATAAGAGTCCAGAGCCAGCTTTCTATCTACTGGTCTACACTGTCTCTGTTAAAAATTCTGCTAAAAGTAATAATGTGTGTGTATGTGTGTGTATGTATGTCTATATAGGCCAAATAAAGGTACTCTGGAAATCTACTCTAGTTTAAAGATAAGAATCATGATTCATTTCTAACATGAATAAAAGCTTATAATGTATTCTCCTTGTGAATACTATTAATTCTTTGCCTCTACACAAATTATCACCAATTCCAAACTGCCTTCAAATATAGATGGTCTCCAACTTACTAATGAGTTATGGTCTTAAGTTATTTGTATGGAATTAGAATGATCATATATGGTCACACATCTATTATATATACACATATTACCATGTTATTACTTTCAATTAGAATGACCTTTCTTATAATAGGCATAAATATAAACATGGTAGTTCAGTTTCCAAACAGCCTACAAAGACCAATTCAACATAAAGTACCTTAGAATAATGGTATATGTACCATGAAACCTAACTACTACTTGTAAACACTGTTACACAGCATCAGAGATAAATTACTGTGTATTCAGAATTCTGATTTGGAATGTTATTAACCCATGCTCCCTGTAGCTCTAATACTGGGACTGAGGATGACTCTAGCAGGTGCTGTTTACCATACTTTGAGATGTAATATTCAGCAGAGTAGGCTGATGAAGAAGAGGAGGCTAGAAAGAGGGAGATCATGAGGGCCACCAGATTCCTCTTGCTAGTCGTGTCTCAATTCTGTCTGGTGTCCCAAGGATTTTTTTTTGGGGGGGGGGAGCTGAGAGAGGGTTAGGAGCACCAGGATTATATTGCATGCCTTGCCTTATTTCTTCTTCCCAGGTTTTTTTTCTTTCACCAATCCCCTACGAAAAAAAGATAGCTTTTCTCCTACCCTCTTGTATAAAGCAAACAACTACCTTTTGATGACTTCTGAGATATTCTATTGCTAAAAATAAGAGAAAGGCTTCCCGTACCATCCATCACCTGTCTCTCTCCCATTTTTCCTCACTTTTTTGTTTTAATCTTATGGAAAAGAAAAAAGATCCACACAGGTGATAAATAGTGGAGCTGGGAGTAGAATTCATACACATTTCAGAAAATCAAATATCTCTCCTGTGCATTTTCATCATAAAAGCTAGAGCGCTAGGACCAGAGAAGTACAGATAGCAGTGATCAGTCAAAATTGCTAATTCTTCCTTCTTCCTTATTACCCCAGTCCTGGCTACACTGGTCCTTGGATGAAGCAGAAATGTTCAGCAAGAAGGGGAGGGAAAACCCCAAGAACTGGCAGTTGGAAGAGAGTTTCTGCAGTCATCTGGCTGGGACAGTTTATTCAATACTTAAAATTTGCTACAGAACTAAGAGCTTGTTAAGCCACTGGACCTTGACTTCAAATTTTTTTCTTGTTATTTATTTTTAACACTCATTAAAAAACTGTTTTTGAGTTTCAAATTCTTTCCCTCTCTCCAGTTCCTCCCCCACCCATCCAGAAGGCAAACAATGACATCAATTATACACGTGGAATCATGCAAAACATATTTCCATATTGGCCATGTTGTAAAGGAAAAAAAGTATGAAAAATTAAGAAAGTGAAAAAATTATACTTCAATTTGTACTTAAGAATTCAACAGTTTGGGCAGCTAGGTGGCGCAGTGGATAGAGCACCGGCCCCGAAGTCAGGAGGACCTGAGTTCAAATCTGGCCTCAGACCAAACACTTGACACTTACTAGCTGTGTGACCCTGGGCAAGTCACTTAACCCCAATTGCCAAAAAAAATTAAAAAAAAAAAAAGAATTCAACAGTTCTTTCTCTGGAGGCAGACAGCATTTTTTATTACAAGTCTTTTGGGAACTGTCTTGGTTCATTTTATCGATCAGAGTAGCTAAGTATTTCACAACTGATCATCACTGCAATATTGCTGTTACTGTGTACAATGTTCTCCTGGTTCTGATCACTTCACTTTGCATCAGTTCATATAAGCCTTCCCTCAGGTTTTTCTGAAAATACCTACTGGTCATTGCTTAGCACAATAGTATTCCATCACAATCATATGCCAAGACTTGTTTATTGATTCCTCAATTAATGGGCATCCCCTCAATTTCCAATTCTCTATCACAAAAAAGAGCTGCCATAAAGATTTTTTTTTTTGGTGCACAAAGATAGATCCTTTTTCTTTTTCTTTGTGGTACTGCTGGTACAGCACAGTCTTAAATTGTCCTCCAGAATGGTTGGGTCACTTTACAACTCCATCAACAATGCATTAGTATCCCAAGTTTTCCACATTCCCATTCAACATATTTTCATTTTCTATCATGTTAGTCAAACTGATAGGTGTAAGCTGGTACCTCAGAGTTGTTTTAATTTGCCTTTCCATGATAGTGATTGAGACCATTTTTCATATGACTACTGATGACTCTAATTTCTTCTTCTGAAAACTTCCTGTTCATATCCTTTAGTCATTTATCAACTGGGGAATGGCTCTTATTTTTCATAAATATGACTCAGTTCCCTATATATTTTTATATTTTATATATTTATATATTTTAGCAGACAAATTTATAAAAAAAAGTTCCCCCTCAGTTTCTTGCTCTCCTTCTAATCCTGGCTGCATTGGTTTTCTTTGTGCAAAAACCCTTTTTAATTTAATGGAATCAAAATCATACATTTTCAGTGCTCTCATGCTTGGTCATAAATTCTTCCCTACCCACAGCTGACAAGCAAAATTTTCCATGGTCCCTTAATTTGCTTATGATATCATCCTTTATGTATAAATCACGTACTCATTTAGACCTTATCTTGGGATAAGGTGTGAGATGTTAAAGATCTTTGTAATCTCAGAAATTCACATTAACATTATATTTACAACCTTAATATTAAGATTTGATATTTCTTTTTAAGTCATACGTTTAATTTGTCATTTATTATTCTTGTCACTTTGGCATATATTTAACATATACTTAGGAACTACTCAAAGTGGAAACACAGTTGTAACAGCTGTAGAAGCACTGTTACGTTTATACTGCCCATTTTATTTTCTTTAATTAGTGAAAACCATCTCCACTCAATTATTTAGTAGTATAAATAAGCAAAATGGTAACATGATGCTTTCAATTTTACTTTATGTATGCCTTAAATACCTATATCCTGAGATGTTGGCTTGGCCTTAAGAACTGCTTGCAACACTGGATCTTCCCATGGTCCGCCATCTCTAATAATTCTAGTTACCAGTTCCAGATTCACATTTCTATATCTGCTGAGGTGGTTTTGACATTCCTACAAGAGAGAAATTAGTTTGCTCAATTTAAAAGTACTGTTTTAAAAGTTGAAGCATAGTTATATGACTAATGAAATAAAGAAAAAAATATTGTTGGAAAATCTAATATAATTTTCTTTGTTAGGTGAATATTCATATTCAAAGTGGCACCAAATGATTCCATGTGCTCAATTTCATATGTATATTATATATTTTTAAACCAATAAACTTTCTCAGATCAAATTCCATATAAAAGGTGATATCTCTTTTCTCACTCTCCAAATATCTTTCGTTTTCAGTTATTCTATTCAATTTATTCTTTATTTTCTTTTAAAAATACTTTTGCAAACATTTACTATCTTTCCTTTCCATTGTCTCCCACCAATTAAAAAAAAAAAAGAAAACCATCATGAGAAAAGCAAATATTAATTTTGCTTTTACTGTGTAATTGATTTTATCCTACAAACTGCTTAAAGTTCTCTGCCTCTGAACTTAGTTCGGAATTCAACTAGCCTGTAATGCATTAAGTTTAGAAATTAGTCCTCTTGCTTATCACTGTTCTAGTCTTGCCTCAAAGAAATTCTACTATCCTTGGGAATGTGGCTGGATACCAGAGTTCGGTCTTATATCTTGACACCACCAAGCTATCCTTAAAGGATGTTTGGTTTGCTATCCAAAGAAGTCTGACTTTGCAGGTGGTCTCAAACAATGACTATTTCTCAGTTTCAGGAGGGAAGGAAGAGGTCATTGCTAGACCTTATTCCTAATTTCCAACTATTCATATTGTTCCCCATTTCTCATCTATGTAGCCATTTTGTCATCAACTCCATGATGTCACCTACCCTGTTCTGTTCTTTGTTTTGTACTCCCTGAAACCCTATTGAAGGAGAGCTGTCCTTCTGCTAGGGGTCTTTGGCATACATCAAGGCAAGCTACTGATGCCTTTATTAATAGGCTCACACCCTGTTAACAAACTGTTACCTTGTTCAGAAAGAGCGTGCTTCAGCATACCTTTGTTGAATTTCACTTGACAATCATAAATATGAACAGTCCAGCAAATTAAATTTCCACAATGGTCATGTCTAAAACTGTATCTTTGTTTAGAATTTTATCTTGTTTAAACATTGTGGTAAGACCAAAGCTACTCTGGGCATATAAAAAAGTTTATCCATGATTCGACAGTTGAGAGTTTTTGGCCCAAGAAACACACAAGAAGTAAAGGTGGGACTTTAGGCCAGTCTAATACCTGCATACCTAGCCCTGGCTCTCAGTTCCTGGGAATAAAATTTCTTAACTCTCAGTGGTTAGTGAGGCAACTATCACGTTACCCTTATCTCGGAGAAGTTTAAGATTAACTGGGCCTAAGTAAGATGGAAATGAAGGTTCATTTACTAGCAGGAGTTGGCCTTCCATATTTTGTGGCTGGAGATTAATATGCACCATCAATTTAAGACATTCATAATTCACAGTTTTCCCCCTGACTTTTCTAAAAGACACAATCTCTCAAAAGGTTAGACAATTACAGGTTTATATTACTACTTAGCCACATGGAGCAATAAACTTAAATACTGCGCTCATTTTTGAAAATACCTAATACATATTTGGGACCAGAGATTATCTGTGTCAAAGCCAGAAAGTAAATTACCTATTTTTCTTCACAACAAAGTCATTTTTTATGTTAAGCTTAAACATCCAAAGATAATGTAAAAAAGAAATACATAATTAAGATACAGCATAAAGTTAACAAATGATTTTATTAAAAAACTATTATAATTACTTTCAAAAGTCTCTGAGATTTATTATGCACCATAAATAAGGATAAAAAAAATAATTTGGACTAATACATACGGGTCCAATAAGATGTTTTTACATTATTCTATGCCTTCAATAAGTTCCTCTAATTCTTCTCTTCCCTAGCCTAATGCCAGTACTTTCTGTGTGTGTAACTGTCACATTTTTCAAAAGTATTTTCATTTTGACTCAATGTTGTTAATGATGATGATCACAGCTATTTTTAAAAAAGTGAAATAGCACAGACTTACAGCACACTGATTAACATCTATCTAAAGAACAATGGCAGTGAAGTTATCCACACTTTGAACCACTAAGACTATTATTATCTTGTTCCCATAATTTAAATCCCATTTTAGTGAGTTTATGGAATTATTAAAATTGCTACCTACCTACAGGCTGGTAAAATAAAATATGTAATATGATCATATAGTGTACAAAGGGTGTATATCTTATAGTACTGTACAGGGGCCAGTGCTATCTAGGACTTATAAAGCAAGGAGAAGTCTTAGTGGAAACATTTGGGTTTGTTGGTTTGAATAAAAACTACTAGAAATAAATGGGAGGTGACTACATCATTTATGCTACTCTCCTTTCCTCAATACTTTTCTTCCAGGATGCAGCAAAGATATGATCTTTGAGAACAGTGTCTTTCTTTCTCAGCACTTTGTGGCTCTAATCAATCTAATGCCTCCCAAATATTTATGAGTGTATGTATATCTTTCCTTTGTTAAATAAAGTACAGTTATTTTTGCTATAATGCTTGTTTTGAAAACATGAATTTGTTCCAATGTGATTAATATATTGGGGAACAATTTAAGCATAAAGTGACTTTCACTGGCTTATGCTCAATTACATTCTGTAAGAATGCAGAAAACTGCACCACTTCCATGGTAACTCAAAAGTTGTAACCCTTCCACAAGCAAATCTCTGCTCTTTTTCCAAGTAAAGCTTTTAGAAATGACAAAAATATTAACAGTTCCATACATTTACTATTAGCAAAATAACTGGGTTTTCCAATAGAATAATAAAAGACTACATGTCTTTTTCTCTACTATTATAATAAGATTGTGTGAGCCTTTTGAAAATTATTTTAACATCATTAAGCAAGGTAGTAACAGGCAATGTATGTATGTATGTTTTAGTAATTAAGTGTATTTTACATGGAAAATTTAACATAGTAAATTTCATTACCTGGATTGAACCAAGAATATCCTTTAATGGCTCTTCATAAAATTCATCTTTTCCAAAGAACAGCAGCAACTCAAAGAAACTCCTAAAAAATATCAAGAAATCTCAGAGTTTTGCCCCAATGTAAAATTGTAAATGCCAAATAAAAATAAGGATAACATATATATTTTTAAAAGTCAAAAAAAGATTTCAAAAAAAAGTAAAAAAAAAGTTCTGATCATCACAGGCAAATTGTCTGTCTTTACAGTTAACTGTTGTAAAGTTCAACTTAACTGCTTACTTGGTGACAAATCTCACTTTACTCTTCATAGTTAATACTGCAGGTCCTCTGCACACAGTAGGCACTGAAGAACTATATTGTTGTCCATGTCAGTGCTATTTTTACCCTTACTTTGCAAGTAGCCTACAGATCAGCTGAGAAATATTCATATTGAGTCTGCCAATGGCAATGCAATTACTAATGCTGTTACTAATCAATATTTCCAAGAAACAAAGTGAAAACCATATTTACTATGTGATACCTATGTGTCTATAATAATATATGTTTATTAAAGTTAGAATAATTTTCTTAATTCTGAGAATGATTAAACTACTATCTAACTGTTTAGCATTACTATTTGTGGATGAAAAGAAAATACCATGAAAGACAAATGCCATCAGTCTAGTGTGGCCAAAAAATAGAATGGGTTTTTTTTTTTGAGGTTGGCATAAAAAAAGACTAAATAAGCTTTATTTCCAAGGAACATTTTTCTAAAACATAGTGAAGCATTTGTCACAATCTGGGCAATATATGCTCTTCGTTCACTCATGTTTTCCTGTGTGACTCAATCTCTTCTGAGTAGGATGGATCTCACTGAGGAGAACCTGTAGTGTTTAGGAATTTGATGCAATCAGCAAAGTGTCACTTAAAAACTGAAACATATTGAGAAACTGAAGTATAAAGAATTCCTCTTCCATTTGGAATTTGTGTAGGACACTGCATACAAAAGTGGCAAATATCTTTTTTAAAAGAATGCATGTCCTTTTTTTATGCTTTCTTTGATATTGATAATCACAGGATTCCACTGTGCTTATGTACTGAACACATGCATGACGAAAGATTTTATTGAAGGAGAGCTTTTAAAATTGGTTTTGAACTAATAAGCCAAATGTTTTCATAAAAAAAAAAAACACTTTTACTCACAGTTAGGTATACCCCTCTCCTTCCCCTCTTAAGTCCTAGTACTCTTCAAATAAACTAGGAAGAGTTCATATTCAGGGAAATTATATTAGATAAAATCTGACTGACAGCTTAATACCTTTTTTTTCCATGTTAGTATTTTGTGTGTGTGTGTGTGTGTGTGTGTGTGTGTGTGTGTGTGTGTGTGTGCGTGTGCGCGCTGTTTGGTTGAGTGATGAGGAAAAAGGCATTAGACATAAGCCATCATCTCACTGCACATCGAAGAGGGTATTTACTTGTTCTGCCAATCACTATACGTCACCCCCTACTAAATAACTCCAACTTTCCCTATTACTTCCAGGATCAAATATAAACTCTTTATTGGACATTTAAAGTCCTTTATAACCTGGCTCCATCCTCCCTTACTCGTCTTTTTATACTTCACTCCTCTTCTGGCACTCTATGATTAACTAATTTGGCCTACTCGCTGCTCCTCACACAAGACACTCAATTCCAACTTTTATTATCCCACATCCCTCTTCACTTCTGTCTCCTAGCTTCCTGCATGACTCAGCTCAAACTCTCTCTTCTATAGAAGGCCTTTCCTGGTCTCTCCTTCCTCTCAGTTTCCCTTCTCTAAGATTAATTTCCATTTACACTGTGTGTATCCTTTATGTACACAGTTATTTGCATGTAATTTTTCCCAGTAGAATGTCAGCTCCTTGAAGGCAAGGCTGTTTTTACCTTCTCTATGAGTGCTTTGCACAAAGTATATAAATGCTTGTTGTCTTACTGACTTATAATTCATCAGTTATTTTCATGTATGTTAACAGTCACTGGGCATACTGTTCTCCTGGTTTGCTTATTTCACCTGCATCAGTTAATGAAAGCCTTCCTATATACTTCTTCCAAATCTCCATATTTGTTGCTTTTTACTATGCAATGTTATTCCACTACATCCATATACAACTTGTTCAGCTATTTTCCACTAGACAGGCATCTACTTTATTTCCATTCTTTTGCTACTGCAAAAGTGCTGTTTATATCATTTCTTCTTGAGTCAGCAAGTACAAATTTTCTCTTTAGTTCATATTTAGTGATTCACATTACCCACAATTAAGGTGCTTGAGAGACTTGAGCAAAGAAACACATAATGGGCTTCTGAAACTGCCCACATTTCCTATTTAGTCATTGTTTTATGCTTGGAATAACCACAAAGAATGAAGCTTTTTAAGTCCTATGTAAGACACATCATCTCTATTACCAAAGGCTAGGTTCTAGAGATAAATGAAAATTGAGAAATCTTTCATTATGTTCCCAAGAAAATTTCAGACAAACTGATCATATTTGAAACCTCTGAAAACTCTACTTTCGAAAACTTTACCTTTTTAAACACTCATTCAGTTCTATGGATAACAAAAAGAAACTGTGAATTAGGTTAATCTGCTTTTTAATACCTTGTTTTCATATTGGGATAATCTCTCTTAACAGGGAGCTATGCCACCTGTTGGCAGAAAGGGTCACCTATAGACTTGAGAAGAGGGATAGGGTGTAAGCTGAATAGGAAAAACAAAGAACAAGAGTGAGATAAACTTGGATTGTTGGGGTACAAAGTAAACCCCAAACCCAGAAATCCAGAGTCTCAAGTGCAGTTTACCAAAACTTTTTCAAACACTGACATAGTAGGGTCAGTTAAAAAGTATATGAAACAAAAAATGATGTCTTTCTTTCCTCAGCATCTAGGCCAGGGCTTCTTAAACTTTTTCCACCTGCAACCCCTTCAGCACTTCCTAAACTGTGGGTCGAGACCCCATATGGGTCCACCATCCACAGTTATTAAAAGTGCTGATAGTAATGTTTAACCTTAAAAAAGAAAAACACAGTCTAATTAGATCTATAGCTTTATGAAATAATCTATTTCTACTTTGATCTTATTTTACATTTAAAAAAACTCATAATTTTCCTGCTATATTCTGTTTATCTTGATATCACTATGAGAAGAATGACAGGTTGCTGTAATTCTTTTTTCATCAAAACAAAGTATTTCAAGACATATCCCTCCTTGACCCCAGCACTTGGGCCTGGAGGAAATACCCTGACTGAAAATATCCTGAGAATAGAGGAAATGGTACCTTGTATAGTGAAACTGCCGAGGATGCTACTTGCTCTAGTCCCTTTACCTTAAGAAAGAAGCTTTTCCTTATTCCCTTTTAATATTAGTGCCTTCCCTCTATTAACTAATTTCCATTTACATCGTCCATATAGTTTGTATGTAGCTGTTTGCACATTGTCTCTCCCATTAAACTATGAGCTCCTAGAGGTCGAGGACTGTTTTTCTTTGTCTTTTACCTTTCTTCATATCCTGAGCATTTAGCATCATTCTCTATTCATACAAAGTAAGCACTTGAAACAAGTCTGCTGACTTGACCTGATGTGTCCAAAAAGAAAAAGCTCCAGAAAACTCAAATCAAATCAGAAAAACTAAGTTAAATGTCAATATTAAAATGTACATTAAAACAAACAATCCCTGAAAGGGATAATACTGAAGACTTTTAGTTTACTTGCTCCTATGGTTATCTGAAGTCTGATTTTAATTTTTTTTCAAACTTGGTAAAGTCTGATTGTACTCGAAATGATTTCTGACACCTATCATACAAATAGGCCATGTTTCCAGTGACAATAGCTAATAAGAGCTAATATTCCTATAGTGTGTACTATGTGCCAGGCACTGTGCTAAGTGTGTTACAATTATTATCTCACTGAATCTTCACAACCACCTGGGAGGTAGATGCTATTTTTATCACCATTTTACAGATGAGAAAACTTAGGCAGATAGAGGTTAAATGACTTGCCCAGAGTCACACAGCTATTAAATGTCTGAGACTGGATTTGAACTTAAGTCTTCCTGACTCTAGGCCCAGTAATATATCCACTGTGCCACAAAAATAGTGACATAGAAATCTAAATTTTTATCACTTAAATATCTATTGCACTGTGAATAAAATTTCTTAACTCTCATTTTGGAAATAGCCTAGGTAATAAGGACAAATCTTAGGGCCACACATGCTTCAAAGATAAAATCATGTATGTAAGTCTTCAACAAGAGTACACCAATGAACTGTACTGCCCACCTATTTCTGTTTGCAAGTAAAGTTTAGAAAACAAAACAAAATAAGTGGATTAAATCACGATTTTGAACATTTCTCTTCTTTTGCATGTATAAAATACTTAAAACCACACCTAAGCATTCTTCTAGGAACTTTAATTTTCAGGTATTCTCTTATTAAAATGTAACTGAGAAATATTTAACAAAATAAATAAACAAAAATACAACAGAATACATATAATGTCAACATGTGGCTAAGTGAATATGAGACCACAGGGATCCATTTTTATTTGAGTTTGACATAAGTGTGTCAGACAATCAACAAAACAAATCAAGTTGATTTGTAGTATTTCCTGATTTGCAATGTTCAAATGCTTACAATGAAAATTTAACAACTGGCTAAGCTGGATCCAGTACACCACTTAGTATAATATTTGTATGTATATAATACCATCCTTTTTATTTATATCACACTTTACAGAATTATAAGGGCCTTCACTGGCAATCTAATCCAACTTATACCTGACCAAGCACCCTCTACCACACTTCCAACAAAAGGTCATCCAAACTTTGTTTTAAGATCTCTAATGATAGGGAACTTACTAGCTAGCCAGGCAATCAATCCCACTTTTAGACATCTAATTTTTTATGCTTTCCTTATAATGAGCTGAAATGTGACTTTCTATACTTTGCACTATTGCTCCTATTTCTGCCCTCTGAGTTATGCAGAAAAAGAAAATTCTCTCTTTTAGAGGTCAAATAGTCAAATACTTGAAGACAATTGGACAATGGATATGGGAAAAAGAAAAATAAGAACAAG